ACCTGGCGGATGAACTGACAGTGGCAATAATTTCAGCTGAAGCTCTACATGGAATACAGAGAAACCTGGCTTATACACCTGGATACATAATCATAACACTGTCAAGGTTTCTGGTCCTATCCGTTAGTGCAGGTTTTTCTTAGACTCGCCCGAAACTAGCAAATCTGTCATTCCTGTATCGACTGAGTCACCTCAACAGTTGAGGATGTACCCCCCAAAAAAAAGGTTTACTTTGGGTTTTAGGTTTGGATAAGGTGCATTCATACTCCAGAATACCGATTGTAACTGGGATACCAGTACAGAAGAACAGAATTACTTTCTACTGCAACTATTCTAAACATCAATTTTTCTAAAAGCAAAAAGTAAATCTGTATTTTGGCAATTTAAAGTTACTTTGTGTACATATTTAAAGCATCTTTCAGGTTATTATGATGGCAAAAGTTTTAGTTTGTAGAAAAATACGATAAATGTTAAGAGAATTTGGTGAAATCTAAGTGTTTTCAGCCCATTCAGTTGGAGGAGTCGGACATTATGGCTTTCTATACTATCTTTCAATGGGAACAGAGTGAAATATCCTGTATGGAAGGCTCATGACAGACAGTTCCTATTCAGTGTGTCAGATGGTTATTCAAACTATGAATAGCCCCACAGAGAATCTCTAAGTGGCCACATCACTCAGTCTGAGTGCACCCTGAAGAGGCTGCTGTGTATTTTCAGAGTTAATTCAAACCATTAGCCGCAACGAGACGCACCGAACATGTGTTCGAAGAGAAAGTCCAAAAAGGAAGGCAGAGATCTGTTTGAAACATACAATCAAATCCAGCTTCCCTTCACCTGGAAACGTTTAAAAAATCCACCAGATCTGGTTCAAAGAGGAGGCTGAAGAAGAGACAGGAGGCTCAGTAACAGAACAAGCTCCTCGGGGAGGAAGAGGAGGGAAGAAAACGTCCATGCATCTGGAAAACGTATAATCATAAAGTGCCCTCTATCCAGGGACAGAGGCACTCTTGAACAGTTGACTCCTGAAATACAGATTACTGTAAAAAACACACCGCTTACCTCTGGAATCCTAATCATCCTCAGTGTGTGAGCATGGTAGCAGCTCAGAGTAAACCGGTAGCTTTTAAATCTCCAACAAAGTGCTGGCAGACGAAACCACACAGAAACATTCAAGATGGAAGGTTGTTTTCAGGTTGGCTGGGATCCGTTTTTTTTATTATACAGTGGATGTTTTATGCATTTTACTCCTTGGAGTGGTGAGACTAAGAGCCTAAACCTCAAGTACAAGCATAACAATCACCAAAGCTAACCTGATGTTCCCATCAACCTTTTTTACTTTTCAGGTCGATGAAATCCACTGGAAAATCCACAGGAGTGCTGCGGGGAGGCAATAAGTTGTATTTACACCGGGGGAAAGAATGACGAGAGCTTCAGAACAACCACCTTGCGTCAGAAAGAAACACAGACGAGTGAAGCGAGAAGAGACAGACCAAAGTGATCAGGCTTGTTTGATACTAAAATAAAAAAGGGCGCACTGTCCTGGAATAAAAACATCCAGAAAGTGTTCCTCGCTGAACGACCGGTAACGCTGTTCAAACTGATTATCGGCAAGACTGAAATGTATTTAAAACCAGAGCCAATTATCTCCTCTAAACTATTACTGTATTCATTGTTGACCCCAAAAACAACCTGCTGAAACAGAACTCCTTTAATTGGGCAACAAATAATTAACAGATTCCAACTTTTGGTAATTTATTAAACCAAAAGGATCATTTTGAAATGTTTTACTTTGGATTTTTTTTCGGCTTTTGGTCCGACTCAGTGAGTAATTTCAAGATGTTGTGCTGGCTCTGCTTACATATGATGAGGATATGTCATTATTTTTGACATTTCACAAACCAATAGCTTATAATTTCCGGAAGTAAGTTCATTTTAAGAGAGTTTAATGTTAAGACAGATACCCTTTCCATGTCTGTAGACTAAATATGAACCTAGGGCCAGCAGGTGATTAGCTTAGCCTCGCATAGAGACTCACCTCAAACGTTTAATAATTGTTTGTTTAATCTGCAAACAAACAGAAATATAAAACAACAAGTTGTGATTGGTTAGTTGTTGTTTAGCTGAGTTAATCCCCTGCTAGCTGTAGCTTCATCCTCCCGTACAGACATGGGAGTGGTATTAATCCTCTTATATAACTTCCACAAGAAAGTGGATAAACATATTTCCCATAATTAGTTAGGAAAATGTGTTAGTCGTCGATATTTTGATCTCATTTTGGAACAAACATCCTCAAAACAAAGTGCTCACTTCAGTGTATTTACCTTTTAAAAATGAATTATCACTACTAATCCCTACTGTGTGTGTGTGTGTGTGTGTGTGTGTGTGTGTGTGTGTGTGTGTGTGGATGAGGCAGAGGAGAAATAATATGTAAATTTAAGCAAACTAGAAATTCTTTAGGGTAAAAAAATGGAAAGTGTACGTCTAAAAAAGCGCTTAAAAAAAACAAAACAGAAAAATGCCCTTTGTGCCCTCAGCAGAAAACATGCCTTTGTCAACCAGCACAGCATCACCCCTCCTTTGTCTTTGCTTCACACTCGGTTAAGTTACTCTGTGTGTGTGTGTGTGTGTGTGTGTGTGTGTTTTTGTGTGTGTGTGTGTGCTCTGTTTGAGCCTTCATGCTTATTTAGCGCTCAGCCTTCTTCCCCTTCCTTCCTCGATGATTCGCTTATGTAAGGAATCAGCGCAAGCTTGTCTGAGCACTCTCTCTTATGAATACAACTCTGTACTGTACAGCAGCTCTCTTTCACACACACACACACACACACACACACACACACACACACACACACACACACACAAAAAGGAAACCTATTATCTAATCACTGTTCACCCAGGCTGGAGTCTAGACTTGAAAAGACTCACTTGCTGTTCACAGAATTGGACTTTAGTATATTTGTTAATGTTGGTGAATGGTTTTTCTCAGAGGTTAAATGTTAAATAAGAACAGTTTTAAATGGCAGTGGCCCTAACGTTCACTATACAGTTTATCCAGTTCTAATATTAATTGTGTGTCAGGTTCACTTTGAGGCTTGTATGTCTGTTTGACTGGTTTTTACCTGGTGAAATAAAAGGTTAAACAAAAAATGTAAACTGTTAGAAGCCTCCTCTACACGTAAAAACAACCCCTAACTGGTGTTACAAGCAGATCATTGGTTTAAAGCTGCAGTAGGTAACTTTTACAAAACGAACTTTCAGTCATATTTGCTTTAACTTTCACTGTATCCTGACAGTAGAACACGAGACAGACAATCTGTGAATAAAATCAGCTTCTTCTGGCTCGTTCCAGCGCTTCTAATGGCAAGAATCCACCGGGCCTGAACGAAAACAACCAATCAGAGCCAAGAGAGATATGAAGACGGCTTTGAGTTGGAGGCTTGAAGACAGTCGATGTACCTGACACCCTGGGAATGAGACTCAACCTTCAACTGTCTTTCAAGCTGTGATTGGTTGTTTTTGTTCATAAAAGTTACCTACTGAAGCTTTAAAAGCTCAAATTAAAACAAAAACTGGGCTGATTTGAAATCCAGAGTGGGAATACTGGAGCTGGGAAAGACTCTTACAAGGCAGCGACTTGCCATGAAAGAGGTTTGAACCACCAACCTGTTGAATGAGTTATTACATTAACCTTCCCTCTAAGTGTTCAACGAATGATGATGCTCTATTTAAACCCCAAAACTAAACAATTCCTAACTTTAATTTGAGTCAGATCAGCCGACGGAGGTTTAGAAGAATGAAATAGTGACACGACAGTGTAGAAGAACTGCTCTGATGAACGAAACTAACAATCATAACTGGTAAACCTGACGCTAATTTAATGGTTTGGTCTACAAAACGTCAGAAAATTGTGAAAACATGCCCATCAAAATCTTAAATATTGCTTGTTTTGTCTGATTAAACCCCAAACACATTCAAATGAAAACAGAAATCAGGGAGTTTGGGGATTTTTTCCTTAATAAATGGCTTAAACATTTACATTAAAGATCAAAATACAATACTGGATTACTTCTCTGTGTTTGTGTCTGGTCATTTTAAACAGACGAGTGCTCGATGTCTCCCCCGTCCCCCCCCACACACACTATACACTTTATGATTTGTCCATTAGCTCCTGTAAAACATCATGTGTAGGTATTACAATCCCACCAGGTGGCTGAGGTTACCTGGATTCAGAGCTCAGCAGCACTAAAGGCAATACGTTGCAAGCAATCAACAAGCTAGAGGTAAGCAACAGGAGCAACAACAAGCTGCTCACCATTGAGTTGTGGCATTGTGGTTGACGTGAACACAAAATGTGTGTGAGAAATCACTCATTTTACACCTATTTCAGAAGCCCCATTCATTCTGTGGTGTAAGACACACCATCTCTGAACTGAACTCCGTATGAAAAACGGGCTATTTAAGACAGAGACACAGACTAATCCTCTGCACGCCTCCTGCATAAGCCCCATTGCTCTCTTTCTGGTCGACATGCAGCCCAACAGGCTTCGCTCCTCTGCCCAAATCCTATGACACACAACACACACACACAACCAACATGGTGACATTTTGTGTGTGCAGAGCGAGGAGCCGAGACACACCTGACAAAAAAAAAAAAAAAAAAAAAAAACGGTCACGATGACAGAGGAAGGGGAGAGAGGGGGGGGAGAGAGAGAGAGAGAGAGAGGAGGGGAGTGGAAACCTGTCTGTCTGCGGATGAATGGGCTCTAATTAATAAGCAGCTTCCTCTCTATAAGTGAGCCCGTGCATTGTGTTTTCTGCGTGTGTGCGCGCGATGCAATAACAATAACAAACGCACCCTCCCCCCCCCCCCCCCCCCCTCTCTCCTCTCTCTCTCTCTCTCTCTCCCCCTGTACGTGCACCTCACTCCCCCCCCAACCTCCCCCAATAGGAGACATGCTGCTGTCACATGCAAAAGCCGATTTAGAAATGCGCTCAGATTTTACCTGTCTGCAGTCTCTCCCGTCACCTTCTTCTTCTTCTTCTTCTTTTCCTCTTCTTCTTCCTTCTCTCGCTTATTTAAAATGCTTCTCTCTCTCCGTTTGCTTCTCTCCGGCGCTGCATTTCAGTCCAGGTCGTCCATGTTCGCAGCTCGATGGAGGGATGGAGAGAGAGAGAGAGAGAGAGAGAGAGAGAGGGGGAGGAGGTGGTAATGGTGAAGGAGGAGGAGGAGGAGGAAGAGGAGGAGAGAACCCTTTGAAGTGAGGAAATCTGGGTCCCTGCTCGCAACCCAGCTGCGTGGACTGGATTTATGTCGTTTCCAAGGCAGCGTCCGTCGACCTGGAGAGCGTCAAGCTGCAGCCTGTCGTAAAGGCACACCACTTCCGATTGGCATTTCAAAATAAGAGTCTCGATTAAAAGTTACCACACAGAAGAATCTTTAAACTAAATGTTTTCTAATTATTGCTACTGTTGTATCCTTAATAATAATTTAGTAAAATAAGTAAAATCTTAATTTAAAAGCTTAACTTTCGGCTGGACGCCCTATATATTATTGCTGCATGCTGTATCTGTATTGTGGCTGTTAAATGAAATTAAATATGATTTTGTATAAATAAATTAAATATTACTAACAAAAGGTCTTGCACACAGTGGATGTGTATTTCCTGCTATCTCTAACCACTTTTTGTGCACTAAAATATAACATTAAACCCATTCCCTTGTAATAGTCTATGTTCTTATTGAAGATATACACTCAAGTTGCTAGTTTATTAGGTACAACTGGGTAAAATTAATGCACTTTAATACACCAGCATTAGTTATTTTTGTTTGTCGATTAAAATTTCAAACCATAAACTTCACTTAATTTCTCACTTTTAGCTTGTAAATGTATTTTTTGCTACAATATTACAGCTGAAGTGAGGGTTTGTTTCTAGTTAGCTTTATGTTGAACGCTCAATGCCTTAACTGCTGCTATTTCTAGTGGTACCTCCTGCGTGCTTGACGCAGCTCAGACGAACCAGGGAGCTGCAGCAAATCGGTGTAACGGCGCATGCGCCTCCGAAGAGCGGCGACTTTTGACGGTGATAGCCGAGACCACCACCCACTCTCCCACCGAGCAGCATGGGTGAGCGGGCAGAGCCGCTGCAGGCCTGTGGGAATGTGACACTTACATGTAAACACATGTGGAGGCTCATTTGATTTAATTAATGAACTGAAAGTGAAAAAATTATAATTTATTTATTTTTCATTACAGCTAATAAACCAGTTAATTTCACTGGCGTCATTCCAACCATATGATTATACGCGCAGTAGATAATGTGACAATATAAAGGGTTTATTCTAGGACGCAGTTGATTTAAATTGTGTGGGATCCGAAATGTGCATTTTAAAGTGTATTTGAACACATTTTAACGTGTAGAAATGAATAAATAAAGTCTAATTTATCAGAAACATTTGAAAAATAACATTGCACTTAATAAAAATTATTGCAAATACGTGTACTGTATATTCAATATGGATGTGAGTGAACTCTTCACTCTGGAACTACAAAACCCTACATCAACACCGTGTACAACTTGTAGGTCTATTCAAATCTCGAGGGAAACTATAACTGCACATGTTTCTTGAATAATTAAGTGTACAGTGCTGTGCGGCCGCCACAGGTTACTGTGCAGTTCTGTAGCTTCGCCACTCAGCGGCGCTGTTGCTTTGTGTTTCTGCTCCTGCAGGTCGCTGGCTGCTCGGGGTCTGTCTCTGTCCATGGTGCTGATTTTAATGAGGCTGCAAAACAAACGCATGTGGACGCTCTCCGTGGAGAGAGATCCCTTTAAACTCATCATTATACAATATAATACCATGCAGCTTATATATGTTATATGGCATAAAGAGTTCAAGATCAGAGTCACCCCCCAGGAAAGAAACATCCTGGATCTAATGCATAGAAAAACCTTATAGACAAAGTACTGCAGGAAACTGTCGCATTGTGTTTACTCTCATCTGTGGTGCTTTGTGGGACTTCCAGAGAGCTTTGTGGTAGTTTGTTGTTGATTGTGATGGTATGCTTTGAGTTACTGTGGTGCCACCTTGTGGTAACCACACCTGGTTGTTAAGCAGTGTGTGGCTGTATAGCACAGGATCTCTGCCTTTTTTTTTAAAGGTGCAGTAAGTAACTTATGACTGTTATCTACCTCTGTTACCATATCTGTGGCCTGTTAATGAATGAAGTCAAGGTTTTTTACAACACAGAATTATAAGTATAGGTTTTATGTAGAGTTTAAGGGACAAACATCACAGCAGAGGTGAAGAGGTGTCACTGAATTGTAAATAAGAATACAAACATATGTAACAAAAGTGTATTTAATTGTTACCTTTGGGGCTCACAGACTTGCGTACAGCAACGTCATTCATCACTGAACAGCTGGAAAGGTTTGAAGACTCTTTAAACTTGACTGAAGTGTATCTTGTAAGAAATCATTAGTCATTTCTGACCTAATATGGTCATTTTGTGCAATTAAACACTAGCTATGACGCTTTGTGCCTCTTTAACCAATCAAGTCCTCTGAAACTCTTACATAAATGTCACATGACCCCACTTAATTCTTTTAGAATGGAACAAAATGCTCTATTTTAAGCACACCTGTATGAAACCGAGTGGTTCATATGTTAAAAGAAAATGCACACCTCTCTTTGCCAGCGTGGGGTAAAGCACTCATAACATGAGGGTTTCCTGCACGGCTCAGTGGGTAGAGCATGACACCGTAACACAGCCGAGGATAAGGGTTTAATTAGCTCCAGGTTCAGCTCTTTTCATGGCACCATGAAGCACTTTAGATAAAAGCTGCCTCTGATTGTCAGATGTTTGTAAGAGAAAAGAACATAATAGCAGAGTGGACTGAGTAGCCAGTGCAGGGAGCTGGAGACCTATACTGTTATTATCAAATTCCCCAAATTACACAGCTAGGTGTGTAATCATCAGAGGGGAGGAATGCTAAGCAGTTCAGTAACTTTTACCAGGGGGATTGTTGTACTGCTGCTCTGTGGTTTGAAAGAAAGGTTCACTCAGAGGGAGCTGGATGCTATTTAAATGTAAAAAAGAAACAACGGCTGCATTTAAACACCACCATTGTTTTTAAGGCGTTTCACAGGAGAGTCTGGTCCTCTAGTCTAGAGACTTCATAAAAGCCATTAACCACGTGGTTTAAGTACAAATAAGACAATTGTCCACACATTAGTATAATATTTTAATAAATAAATAGCAGCATCACACAGAAAAAAAAAAGAAAATATACATTGTGTGGATGATAGCGTAATCGTTGTATAAACTTAAGAAGATGTGTCGTAGACAAACATTCACAATTAAAATGGTATATAAAAAAAATAAAAACAGCCACTGCATAACAGAAGAAGGTTCAACACATAAAAAGAGAGAGCTAACCCACGAGCGCCGGATCATACAAGAGCGAGACAAACCAGACAGCCGATCCGGGTCGATGCAGACGAGCATCAGAGGGTGGCGACACCTCGGGTTCAAGGGAAGGTGCACCGGAGAAGTGCACCGGAGAAGTCGGGTTTGCCAAACTCTTGAACAACCTGCAGCTCTGGCTATTTCTCAGAGCCGTTTAGTGACAGAGTTGCTGAAGAGAGAGAGTTATCCGTCTTCCTAAACAGAGTTATTTGGGAAGACGGATGAGACAGCTGCAGGGTTAAAAGACAGCTCGGGAAAGAAAGTTTGCTTGCCTTATGAAAGCCAGCTAGTTGACTTTTAACTTTACTTTTTTAACATTTAGACGTTAAAACTGTCGGATCTTGTGAGTTCTTTTGAGTCAAACGTATCACTTCTAGAAAAATCCACCTTTTATATCTCGCACATTCTTTGACTTTGCTATGAACCATTAGTGACTTATTTTGTGGTTGACAGTAAGTGTTGCAGTTTATGCAGTAAGGTACAACTGACTTGTACACTTTTTCAGTTTGATCAGAGGATTGATAAATATGAGCAGTTGTTTAGCTTAGCTTAGCATAAACACTGGAGGCACAGGGAAACAGTTAGCCCACAGGTAAGAAAATCTGCCTACCAGCTCTTCCAGAGCTCACTAATTAACAACATTTCTATTGTTTGTTTAATTCATACATGTGCAAAAATGACAGGTTTTACTGAGGGTAATATTTTAAAAATAGTTCCATGACAAAACTCCCCATGAAACCACCACATGTCAGTTTTAGGAGACAAACAATATATATATATATATATATATATATATATATATGTGTGTGTGTGTGTGTGTGTGTTTAACCTTGGAAGAGAGCCAGGCTAGCTGTTTCCCCCTGCTTCCAGTGTTTATGCTAAGCTAGGCTAACCGTCTCCTGGCTCATATTGGGAACAGACACACATAAGAGTGGTATCGCTCGCTCTCTCAAGTCTCGACAAGAAAACGAATGAGTGCATTTCACTAAATCGAAATTTCTGATGTGGCTTCACTGGAAATACAAATTGATATTGATCCATACTTAGTAACAAAATGTTTCATAAAGCCACTTTTTGGATCAAGCTTGTGCATATGCTTAGATTTGTTTGGGCACGAAACATCTCACTCATAGAGTTAGACCAATTGTAAATGCACTACATAATTATCTGGAGTAGTTTTTACAAAAAGCCTAGAAACAAAAAGTAGTCCTGGAGGAGGAAAATCAGGCCTCCTCAGATGTTTTGAACCGAAACTCTGTCAATAAACGGCTCCAACTATTTCTATACACACCAGACCCGGATCGAAATTATTTGTTGAAATCCTTCCAGATACTTTCTCAGAGTGATTGCTTTCATCTTTCCGGACCGCGAGCCGGACAGGATTGGCATCTTCAGGGACAACCTGATTCAATCCATTGTGCCGGACACAATCAATAAAAAAACCCCCAAAAATGACTGAATCAATCTCAGACAGCAATTTGAGCCAGGCCTGGTACACACACAGGTACACGGGAAACATTTATTACATTGCGACATACTGAGTTGGCTGGCCTGGCTTTAGCTCTTTGCTTGCCCACACTTTGGGTGGATCCAACATGGCCCATTCACCTAAGTTCAGAGAGTCCTCTCTTCTCCATTTTTTTTTTCTGTTTTTCTTTTATTTATGTTTGTTTATGTTGGTATTTTGCAGATGAAATGCCTGCAGGAATTGCAAGCTGTTCACAATGTTCATTTTTGTTGATTGCTCTTTGTTCTTTCTTTCCTTAATGCGCTGCTTCATTCCTTCAAACTTTTTAAAAGAAAGAACTAAAAAGAAAATGAAAAACTAAGTGAGGCAGAGAGGACCTTTTGAACATCACTTCAAACATGCACAATATGTGTGGGTCAAACCTTGGTGCTGGTTTGCCAAC